TTTTCATTTAAATTAAGTTCACATACAAGTAGAAGAACTGAGGATGTGAAAAAATGAAGTAAGGTTGCAAGATTTTTCATTTATTATTAATATAAAGTAAGGTACCATTCAGACATGTACCATTCACTAGCAACTCTGCAGTTTCCTCTCCAAATCATTGAGGGATTAATAATCAGGGCTGTCCTCAAGTTTAGAGTTACCTGTCACCTTGTTCTCCACACCACTAGCAAACTTGTTACTCTGGAGGTGAATTCTATCAACAACAGACAATTTCACCCGTAGCATCAAGGGAAAATCAAGCATACAAAGTCATATGTAACAGGTGTTACGGGTTATGTCCCTTAATTACAGCCCTGAATAATAATTTATTGGTTTTGCACATGCTCATAAGAGTGTATTTACTTCTTGCATGCACACATAATGAGACATCATTGTTTGCAGGGAGATCGATTCTAGTTTCTCTTTATAACATGACCACATTGTCAAGCAAGCAGACTGTAAGATAAACTACCATACTTATGAAAGGGAGGATATTGTCTTGATCTAGACTATTACACATTCAAGGATCATATTCTCAAAACATGCATTACAGTAATTAACAGGAACAATTCACAACCACTAAGGAGAATTCAAATTTTGAACATGGAATTACCTTGAGAACTNCACAAAACCAATGAATTTAAGTTTTGAAGCCAGTTCCAGAAATAAAGTAAATGAAAGGTTGCAAGATTTTTCATTTAAATTAAGTTCACATACAAGTAGAAGAACTGAGGATGTGAAAAATTGAAGTAAGGTTGCAAGATTTTTCATTTATTATATAAAGTAAGGTACCATTCAGACATGTACCATTCACTAGCAACTCTGCAACTGGTTTCCTCTCCAAATCATTGAGAAATTAATAATAAGGGCTCTCCTCAAGTTGAGAGTCACCTGTCACCTTGTTCTCCACACCACTAGCAAACTTGTTACTCTGGAGGTGAATTCTATCAACAACAGACAATTTCACCCGTAGCATCAAGGGAAAATCAAGCATACATATGTAACAGGTGTTACAGGTTATGTCCCTTAATTACAGCCCTGAATAATAATTTATTGGTTTTGTACATGCTCATAAGAGTGTATTTACTTCATGCATGCACACATAATGAGATATCATTTGTTTGCAGGGAGATCGATTCTAGTTTCTCTTTATAACATGACCACATTGTCAAGCAAGCAGATTGTAAGATAAACTACCATACTTAGGAAAAGGAGGATATTGTCTTGATCTAGACTATTACACATTCAAGGATCATATTCTCAAAACATGCATTAATTAACAGGAACAATTCACAACCACTAAGGAGAATTCAAATTTTGAACATGGAATTACCTTGAGAACTCTAACATGCCCATCAGAGCCACCTGTAACAATGTAGTGCCCATCTGCCGTGAATCTTACAACTTTCTGAAACCCTACATCATCGTCATCTTTAGAATCACCATCTTCACCAGAAACTGTCACCTTTGATTCCAGTTCTTTTATTGTGAATTTCTGGGTCTTTTCTTTGACAACAACCTTGTTTTTTCCTTTCACTTTCTGAGAGTTTTGAACTTCTTCCTTGACATCAAGCTCAAGCAACTGGCATTTATTATCCATTCCTACAGCAATAACATTTGATGTCGGGTGAATTGCACAGTTCATGATGGGTCTTCTCCCAGCTTCAAAATTATGAACTAGGGTCACTTTAAGGTCTTTACCATTTCTACCAAGCTTGTAAATATTCTGAAATTAAGAAAAAGTAATAATAGAGTACAGTTAAGTTAAAAATCCTTTCAGTGTGGTTGGTGTACACAAGATCTTTGTCGCTCCTGCAGAACCAAACATGAACAGGTTCCCCTCCCTTTCCTCAAGCCTTAACCCCAGTTACAAATTATTTTACACAGTCCAAGATAAACAGAGCCAAGATCATTATATCCTTTGGACAAGTCTCAATTATTGAATGTTTTCCAGCATCTTATCAGGCTGAACCTGAACTATTCACTGGTATCCATTCTAGACATGTTCTCCTACATTGAGAAAGTCACCAGCCCTGAACCAGAACTATAAAAGTACATTCTTTCCCAAAAATGTTTCAAACATGTTTGTTCAACATTCATCCGTCTTCTCTAATCAAAGGTATTTTAATGATTTTTCCTAAAACGTTAGCATCTATAGAATATCTGGATACTCTTCTGCCTAATAAGAGCAGCTTATACAGTAGAACCCTGTTAATCCGGTAACCAACAGGCCACAAAAATCTGGCCATATTAAAGGAGTGGCTGTATTAAAGGGGTTCTTTAAACAAAAAAAAAATGACTGACTAAGCTTTTGTTCGGGCCAGAATAAACTGGCCGTAATAACAAGGTGGCCATATAATGAGATGGCTATAAGGCAGGGTTTTCCATCTTGTATCTGTGCTGTTAATTCAGCTGCATCTAGTAGTTGGTTAGATATATGACCCTAGTGACAACCATTATCTTTAACATAAAGGTGGTTGCTAGTGGTCATATACATGTACAAGTACATTAAAAGTCTCAGAGGCTGTAAAAATTACTTTTCCAAAGAGATAATAGTTTATTTTGACAACAGCCATTTACACCCTGTATATTAGACTACGTGTGGGCACATTTTCCTTTGTAGCATTCTAAAATATTATGTTTTTCTCCTTATAGTTTATATTATACAAGTAGGCAATGCCACCTCTGCATACTCATTAACACTTGAGAAATAGAAAACATGTCCCGTGTTTCTATCGAGTTATAGAAACATGAGTGGAAGTTTGGGAGACTGAGAAATGCTGTGGGAACACGAGCCGCAGGGCAGTGTTTCCCCAGCTTTTTCGAGTTCTTCCAAACTTTCACGAGTGTTTCTATCACTTGATAGAAACACGGAGAACATGTTTTCTATTTCTTTTAGAAAACACCGCAACGAAATAAAGAAAAACAGCTTGTTTACTTTGATCATCAAAATGTAAATTCTCTTCGCTTGCACCATCATTACATCAACAGCTCGTGCTAGTTCTGTGTTTCTATTGAGTTATAGAAACACAATTTTTAACCAACCAGTGCATGTATTTTCTTAGGACTGCTTTCTAAAAGTGTATAGATCTGCACTTTTAATTTTACTCAGCTGTAACTACTAGTTGCCAATATACAAACTGTACGACCCTCAGTGAAAATCATCATCTTTTACGATAAAGGTTGTCACTACTAGTCACATACAAGTACAAATATATTGGAAGTCCCAGAGGTTGTAGAAAATTCTCTTTCGAAGGAAAAATAGATTTTAAATCGATGAAAACCATTAACACCCTATATCAGACTACATATAGGCGTAAAGTGTATTTCCTTAAAAGTTTAAGCCACAGTGATACAAGAACACGATTACAGTTGTACAGTCAAATAATTTTGGAAACTCTCAATAGAGACACTGCTCTTTTCCAGTAGAAAACGTTATCAACAGAATCTTCTACCTATTTTGTCAGTCAGGTTTCAACAGTACTTTGATGTCGCTGTACGCGTGAAACAAACATTTTAAATATCGATATAAATTTTGACAACTCTCGTTCTCGCCGACGTTTGTTGCAAAAATACAAACAACAATAAAAAGTTATCACCAAAAGTAGCATCTACAATACAATCACGCACAAGTAAGCACAAGACAAAACAAAACAGTACGCCATGAACTATAAAATATTTGTGAAAAGAAGTGAAAACAATTGACACAAACCAAAGCATTTGGAACGCCGGTTTTCGCTGCACCTCCTCCCCCGGCGATCAAAAAATGATCTCTGTCCAAGACATTCACAGCATAAAGAGGAAAATTAGTTGTCTCTAAGGTCGTGAAAGACATCCTCCTTGAAAATTAATGGTGTTAGTATGAGCGAAAAAGTTGATGGTTCTATCGTGTAAGTTTTTGTCCGGTCAAACTATTCGACGTGGCTCGAGCTTGGTTGCTTTGCCAATGGGTAAGACAGCTGTACAATGTTGCCACTGTTCGCAGATTCGTGCGTATTTCGACCAATGCGCTCGCGCGATCGAGGAAGGGAGACTTTAAGGGTACCTACACTGTAAACGCTATAGAGCCAGCAGCACTCCAAAGAGATGTCTTTATCTATAAAATCAAGACTAAGGTATCTAATTTAAATTTTCAATTTGCGAAAAAGATCTGAAGGACCGGCTTTTTTCGGCGTGCCAAATTTTTCATTTTTGAAAAAATGTTTACTTTAGCATATTTATCAAAATATATCAATAGCTGGTTTTCACATGACGTCACCAAAATTCGAACTACAAAACTATTGATCTTCCTGAGATTTTACTTAAATGATGTATAAGAGCAGCTGAAA